TGATCCCCAGCCTGACCTTCAGCCTTGCACAGTTGTACGGGCTCCTGTCCTGTAGAGAAATTGCTTAGTCTGATTCCACTCACACTGTGATCTTCTCACAATGTACATTAGAAGCTGTAATAAGCCATATAGAGCCCGCCCCATTTCCACTGTAGAGGTTGTTCAGCATCATCTAGCCCTCTTCTCAGGTGTTGATGTCACTGGCACTGAACTAAGGTATGTAATGCATATAGACAGGTTTTACTTACAAATGTATTCACTTTAATTAGGTGGAAGAGGAAGAAGCAGGGAAGTCAAAATATAAGCAGATTAAACGGTTATTAAACCCTACGTTTTTTCTGCATATATCTACTGCTTGCAAGCAGTAGATATTTGCAAAAACTTTATAAAACAGATTTAAACTTAGCTGTGTCTTCGCGCCCGAAAATCTGAAAAATCTCAGGTGGCCGAAAAGGATCTTAGGGCGGGCGCATGCGCAGTTCAGATTTTCGGACGGGAGACGAAAAAAGGTAAGTCTATGGACGCGTGCACCCACACGCAGACAACGTGGGACAGGAAGTGCCAGCAATGACAGAGGAGTCAGCGCCGGATCGGAGACTCGCAGCAGCACTGGAGGGACAGATGAAAAGGACAGGCAAGAAGAAGATCGGATTAAGAGACATCATTTAAGGTAAGTCCTTACACTAAAATTGGGGGGAGGGAAAAAAATGTTTGCCTTTAATGTCACTTTAAACTTCAGCTTTAAGTGTAGAACCTTACAGGACGATGATATACATGCCATCTGATTTGAAAACTTTTACTGGAATGCCCCTCCCCCCTTTCCATGTGCTGTTGTAATTTTCTTTCTGCCGATTGATGTGAAAAACATAATGGCATCATATTGTAATAAGGATGGTAATTCCAATAAGACAACCCGTCTTAAAAGTAACAATGCGCTTCTTTATGCCAGGATCCATTCTATTTTGGATCTATATTGTGAAATTACAGATTTAATTTTCTTGCACAATGGCTGGTTGCGTTGTCCATGTTGAAATAATATCATCATTGGACAACATCCAAAATAAACAAGGTCCAGTTCAAGGTATTTATACAAGGCATGCAGCAATTGTATTTATATAAGAGGTGTCTGAAAAGAGTGTATTCAGCTGGTTATAATATACATTTTTATCTATCAGCATTGTAGGACCTGACTTTAATAAGCTGTCTTCAGATTTTCTCTCTTCCAGTCATAACGTTGCTGTGGCGCCTTCATGGAATTTAATGTAACACAGTGCAGGCAGTAATTTAGTTAATATGCACCTTCACTAAATGCGCAATTACTCAAAGTATTGTAATTACCGTATTGGATCGTCTCAGGATGACCTACCATGTCCGGACTCTCCCTCAAAACCTTTGCTGACTCGACTATTCTGAAGGGATGCAACAATACCAAGTATGAGTAGCGATACTTTTCCTCAAGTGCTCGCCGATATCAGTTACCGATACCTTTTTTTTTTGTGTGTCATGTGACAGTTTTTCTAAAACAATAAAGGCTAATGATTTTAGGACAGTGGTAGAGCGCCAGGGCACGGTCGCAGCTGCAACTTCTGTAACCCTGTTAGTTCTGCCACTGACTCCAAGCTGAAAAGGAACTACAAATCCCAGCAATACATTATACAGCAATGCAGAATATTACCACCAGCTATAGAGGACTACAAATCCCAGCAATACATTAAAAAAGCAATGCAGAATGGCAAGGTTTTAGAGGATTACAAATCCCAGCAGTACATTACACAGCAATGTAGAATAATACCATCAGCTATAGAGGACTACAAATCCCAGCAATACATTATACATCAATGCAGAATAGCATGAAGCTTCATACTCTGTGTTGCTCCGGAGTGGGGACCTGATGTCTCCAGGGTCTCAGGGGAACTGTGGAGGTCTCAGGAGGGCTGTAGAGGGGGTCTCAGGAGGGCTGTAGAGGGGTCTCAGGAGGGCTGTAGAGGGGTATCAGGAGGGCTGTAGAGGGGTATCAGGAGGGCTGTTGTGGGGTTTCAGAAGATTGTACAGGCTCTCAGGTGGGCTGTGTGGGCTCTCAGATGGACTATGTGGGCTCTCAGATGTTGGGCTGTGTGGGCTGCCAGGTGGTAGGTTCTGCGGGCTCTCAACAGGGCTGTGCAGGCTCTCAGGTGGGCTGTGTGGACTCTCAGATGGGCTATGTGGGCTCTCAGGTGGTGGGCTGTGCGGGCTGTCAGTTGGTGGGTTCTGCGGCTCTCAAGAGGTCTGTGCAGGCTCTCAGGAGGGCTGTGTTGGATCTCAGGTAGTGGACTGTTTGGGCCCTCAGGTGGGCTGTGCAGGCTCTCAGGTGGTGGGCTGTGCAGGCTCTCAGATGGTGGGCTAAATAGGCTCTCAGGAGGGCTGTGCGGGTTCTCGCCAGGGGTCCGGATCATCTTGTAGATGTGTAAAAGCCGTGTGGATTCACAGGAAGGAGAAGAAGATGTGCAGCCAGCACTGTAAATAATCACCTGGTTTACAGGAAGGCTGCTGAGGTCCCCAGCAAGCACCGGAGCTCAGACGGCTGCTTCTATTTTATCCATTATCGGCACTTAGTATCGGGGCATTTTTACGAGTACAAGTCCTCCTGAAAATGCCCAGTATCGGCACCGATACTAGTATCTGTGCATCCCTACTATTCTGTAGACACAGACAGCAATTTTTAAGTTTTTTGGATTGATCTTTTATCATGAAGTTTAATTACGTTGCTTAGTAAAACAAATCAGAAGGAACATTTACAGTGGTCCTTTAATTTACTCCCCGCGGCACCTCACAAAGTCCTATATTCTCCTGTCCATGCTCCTGACATGTCATACTGTGTGCCTTCTATTCTGTGAAAAGAATACAAGATGTTCAATGAAAGGAGGAGCTGGAATGTGAGTGATCCACATAGTCTTTACTGTATGTGAGCTGGGACTTTAAGGCTATTTTATGTGGCTGGGGATTCCTGTGGCAAGAACCTGCAGATTTTTGTGGCAGGAATCCCAGGTTTGTCCATATGCAGTTGATGTGCCTGTTTAACTTAATGGCATGATAAGCCTCAGTGCTTACTGTACTGTTGGGGCTGAATGAAAATAAGTTTTAACTAACAGAGTTTAGCTTTAAGTAATACTCTGCAACGAAAGTATATGTTGGCTCACTGGGTGCGTATTGCTTTCACAGTAAAATTGTCTCAATAGAAACAGAGAAGAGAAAACCCTCAATGAATTGTGTTCCTTATCTGCCTGGCTTTATTAGCATACATAGTGAAAAACAGTTATCTGTAAAGTGTTGCAGTCATCAGTTTTCACAAAATCTAAAGTCACTCCCTTTATTGTATCTGATGTGTGAAAGCCATTTGCAGACAGTCTGTTATCTAATCCAAGACACGCCACCACTGATTCCATATGCGTTAAGTGGATAGACCATTTTTGAAAATCATTTGGTTAGACGTATTTTCTTTTGAACTATATTGGAAGTGTATTTCATCACTAGCTATGCAAAAGTAGAGCTCCAGCTAAAAACCTTTTTTTTTTTTTCATTTCTAGCTATGGATATGGAGTGGGAAAGGGTAGAGCCTCTGTATTATTTTCTCTCTATACCCAAAACATTAAAAAAAAAAATCTGCTCTAAATTAATACAGGGAATGCTATAAGATTTTCCAGGTTATTGTTTTATAAGCCCAATCATGGCTCTCACTGTTCTTTGTGCCCTGATTGGGCAAAGTCTTGCACCTGACATGTGGTCAGGTGCAAGGCTTTAGCCAATCAGAGCTCACAAGGCACAGTGCCTTGTGCCGGGTGTGCGGCTGTCGAAAAGCCAGCCAAACACCCTGACAGTTCGTGTGTTCGCCAAACACACAAACTGCCGATGTTCGAGACGAACTCACGGTCGGCTCGAACATTGAGCCCAGCGCTATTTGAGGTCAGAATTGTTACAGAAGATACTGTGAACAGTGCATGGCATCTACAGATGGTGGCATCTACTGTTTGTGTGTGTAAAGGGCTAACCACAGAGTTAAGTTGGTGATGATCACTTTCAGCCTGCTGTTGCTTAGATTGTTGTCCCACATGCCGGAAAATCTTTGTGCAGAGTGAGAGTGTGATACTTCACATTCTGATGGCACGGGGAGGGGGTGAGTACAGCTGGCTCTGCCTCTAGACAGGCAGAGCCAGCTGTCACTCACGCAGCTGGGCGGATCTAGACATCGAGTTCGGGATCCACTCCGGCTGCGGCGTCTCAGTATACCGCGAGCTGTAGCTCACGGTATACTGAGCTTAGGGTAACGGTAGGACGCTAGTTTGTGTCCTCCCGTTACCCTAAGGAGAACTATGGGGAAAAACACTGACCCCATAGTTCTCCTTTAATCAAAATTTCAGCTATGCTTAGAAAGTTTGTACAGTCACTCCGGGGATGTTATTTACAATTTACTTTGTCTGATAACCTCTTTACTGCTCATTTGCTGCTAGTGTTGCTCCCATCACTTACACCTGTAGTACAAAATACCTGTACAAAATGACTTCTTTTACAGACTAACTTCCTCTATAGTAGGAACGGTGGCAGTTAGATTGAACTCTCAATTTGTTTTGTGCCAAAAGGGTTCTATGCATTTTGATAAATAACATCTTTCAAAAACATAATTATCATAGATTGTTAACTTGCCTAAGGTAAATACCTGGGCAGTTGTAAGGTATCACAGGTGAAAACTGCCAAAGGATCAGATGTATTCAAGATCACTGTAATTTATGTCTCTGCTGTATACAACTATTTTTTCACTTATAATCCTAGTCATTGCCCTTTCAAAGGAAATAGAAAAGTCAACAAGTGGTATTATACTCTATAATGCCATAGCTTACGAGAGCACCATGATCCCAAAGTACATGTACAAGAAGAAGATGGACGTTATTTATCCACGTAGCACTTCTGCATGTTTCATTTGTTTGCATGCCTTACCTGCATTATGTTATTCTCTTTCTTTCTTTTAGTGTATATCCAGTGAAGATATCTTTGCACATTATGGAAACAAAATCACAGATAAAAACTTTCAGGATGCCTGTCCTGCTCTTTTATACTTAGTCTTTTCTCACCCGTGTGGAGATGGAGAAATAACCGATCAAAGGCCTACTCCTGCCCAAGGTACAAACCACTTCTGATACTTCTTAAACATATCATACAATATACCTGACAATTGTTTATCTAGCATATGTCCAATGATCATAAACATTTTAAAATATCTAGGGAGGCTTTTTTTTTGGTATTTGTCCATTTAATATGTTAGTTTTTGCTAGATGCTAAACCACCTGTTTTTCCTTTCTTGGGGACTTTGTCGATTAGATCTCTGCATATGAGTTGCTGGGTCCGCACACCCGCTGTGGCCATTATGAGGGGTTTCCATTCTCACTTCTGTACTTTGTATAATGTATTTTATACTATATTATGGAAAATGCAACAGAAGTTGAAACACATAAATGTTGGAGGGACACCCTAAACCTACTAAAGGACAAGAAACAGGAATTATGGCAGGGAGATCTTACTGTAGTCACATATAGGGTCCATTTAGCCTATCAGACTACAACTATATCTAAAATATCACTTTTGGGTGAACGTTAATTTAAATAACAATATCAACCAATGTAAATAACCATATCAATGTAAATAAATGTTTTAAAAAACAAGATTCTCTTCATATTTTAATTATTTATTTACAAGAGGCAGCCATTGCACATATCAAATATTTAGACTGTGCATAACTAAGGGTACTGTTCCATAATGGCAAAGTGAAGGAAATTGTGCCAGTGTGAAAAACCTGAGGGCACTGTTGGCATCATGCAGTACCTGAAGGTACTGTACTGGTGTTGCCTGTAGGATCCCTACAGCTGATCTTTGCTTGAGGACTGACTTACTATGCCTTGTTCTGTGCTGTGTCTCCATGTAGATGTGGTTGTCTTGGAAGAGGTTAACAGCTTTGCTTCCTCATGTCAGACCCTACCCTTGATGACTGGTGATCTCATGAACATATGACTGGTTGGGGAAATGATCAATAGGCAGCCAAAGAATTGAAGGAGCCATAAGTCCACAGATAGCAGTGGCACAGGAAGGAGTAGACATTAGTCTGGGCTCGATGTTCGAGTGGAACAAGAGTTCCACTCGAACATCGGCAGTTCGTGTGTTTGGTGCACAGTTCGACCGCCGAGCTCCCCACAAGGCACGGCGCACCGCACAGTGTCTTGTGAAGCCCTGATTGGCTAAAGCTTTGCACCTGGCCACAGGTGCAAGACTTTGCCCAATCACAGCATTCTGCACTGAAGAGCCATGATTGGGCAAACACCTGTTAGGTGGTGTACAACTGTAAACAGTTGGGCGGAGCTAGTTAGCTGTCACCGCTAGCTCTGCCCAATTGTTTATATTTTGCCGGTATCTGTCAGAATGCCATTCTGCAGTGGGAGTTTGTCGCGAGCAGATGGGTCAGCGGGCGTTGGGTTTCCTTTTTTTTTATTATTTCGCTTTTTTATTTTGTTGAGTCATCGTCGTGGACAATGCTAGACGTCGTGATTGACCCTGGATTACGTCAGTGGATCCATTTTTTTTTTTTTTAAATAAAAGACTTATCAAAAACTTGTCTTTTGTTTTTTCAATTAAAGGATTTTCTCTAAAGTCTGGCGTCTTTTTTAAACTTTGAATTCAACCCTTAAGTGAATTGGTTAAATTCACTTAAGGCCTGAAGTATGCCCGAACCCCCACAACCAACACCCCAGAGCTTGTGGGGAAAAGGCCCTTGTCCCCATCGGCATGGGACAAGGTGCTTTTCCAGGGGTGACCCTCACCTGTACCTGTGCCTGTGCTCGGATCAAGGGTCTGGTTGGGAATATTAGGGGGCACCCCATGTCTTTTTTTCCCATTTTTGGGGGTGGGGTTCCTCCTTAGAATTCCTACCAAACCTTAGTGGCCGGTATGACTTTGAGGGGAAACCCCACACACTTTTTTTTTTAAGTTGTAACTTGGAGTCCCTCCCAAAATTTCTACCTTTACAGACTAAAGTGTCTGGTATGAATTTTGGGGGGAACCCCACACTTTCTTTTTTTAAATGGTGTCCCTCCTAACTTTCCTACCAGGCCTAAACAGTCTGGTAGTGTTTGGGAGGGGGAACCGCACACTTTTTTTCTTTATAAATATCATTTTTGCTGCACCAGGTTCTATACATCGTACAGATTTGCCACTTTACAGACAGGTAAAGGGGACGATATTTAAAGGAATTTACCATTTTGATTGTTTCACTTTAAGCAATGTTAAAATCACTGCTCCTTTAAAAACTGTATTTTTTAAAATTGTTTTTTTTAATTGATACATGTCCCCCAGGGGAGTACCTGGATCTCTATACCCTTTTTATGACCAATAACTTGCATATAAGCCTTCAAAAAGGGGACATTTGATTTTCTGAGTTCTGGTCCCATAGACTTTCATTGAGTTTGAAGTTCGAGTTCGAACTTTTTCCATGTTCTTTTTCCACGGCAGAACAATTAGTTGCATAGTACAAACATCACAATCTGGTTCAAACCCCCAAACATTCCTATACAATATGACATATTTACCCATTTTCTTAGTACTGATCGTAATAAAGGCAATATGTACATGCTACGGCCAGATCCTTTGGCAGCTTTGTGAATAGACCCCATAGTATAGAACTAGAATTAAAACTAGTTTTCTGGGAGAAAAAAAAAAACCTCTGCTCCACCTTCGAACCTATTATATATATTTTTTCTAAACTAAAAGCTCCATATACATACCTAAAACTCCAGTCCCATGACATGCCCAAAATTGGGCTTTATGCTAAATGCCAAGTGTTAATTGTTTTATGTATTTTTAGGCAATTCAGTAATTGTGGATTTATTTTAAATGATAGGTTTTGGAAAGGAGGAAATGTTAAAGGATAAATGCACTTTAAGATAAAGTGAACTTATCATTGTGGTCCCTTTAAGCTGGCCTAACTGATTCTACTCTCCCCCTGCGCAGATGAATGCTTTTAAAGTGCCAATGGACATTGTCTCTGTTGTTTGTTTACATCCCATGGCGAAAGTCTCCCTTTCCTGGCTGCATCTGAAATTCCCATTGAATGTCAGGAAGAACGGTTAGGTCAGGTTAAAGGGGGCAAAATATAAAAAGTTGGGGCAAAAATATAAAACTTTGTTTTAAAGTACACTTATACTTTAAGATTAAGGCAATATTTTGAGGTTTAGTTAAGTTTTAAGGGTTCGAGTAAGGGGAGGGTTAAGTGCTTTAGTGTTAGGGACACTTTTCAGCTTAGTGAAAGGTAGAACTTTCATTTGTATTCAACACTAAAATCTTAGTGCAAAAAAAAAATGGTGGTGCTGAAATCTGACATGTTACTTAAGTGCAGGTGAGACCATAATGTGTATATGTGCAAGAGATCACATACACACCTACAATTGCTTCACATGTGTTAGCTAAAGGACAGTCACATCTATAAAGGCAATTTTTTGAAACCATGGCTTTTGGAGGTTTATAGCTGTACTTTACACTGCTAGATTCCAGGTATGAATAATCTTACTGCACATGTACAAGTTTTAAATGTGTTAAACTGAACATAAAAAACTGTTCCTTCATAACATGACGCTTTCACCTTTACAGGGCAATATGTTCTAGAAACTTGGTAACTATCATATAAAATGGTCTTGTAAATTGTTACTGCTAAGACAGCAGATTTTTTATTTACTCCACAGATACTAAAAATGGCTAGGGTAAAACCGAACTATTGTCCTAAGGATCACACTGCTGTTGAAAGAAGTATGTAAGAAAGTAGTTATAGAAATATATAAACTATCAGTGCAGTATACAGCAGTATAAAATGATGAATTAATGATCGCTTCCTATGAAATATCTTTTAAAAGGTGAATGCTAATTAAAAGTTTTTTTGACCTTGTTGCCATTATGTCATGTTAAATGATAAATACTTGTATTCCAAGATATATTTTGGATGTTTTTCAATGTGTCAAAGGTCTTTGAAATACAGTGTGTGCTAGCAGGTGCAGTATCTGCAGCTGCCAAAACTAGACCCCTTGAGTACACTATGGCTATTGCTATTCCTTTTTTTTTTAACCCCTTTGTGATGGGAGACGTACAGTGTACGTCCTGTCACTTTGTGCCTATATGACTGGCCACGTACACTGTACGTGACGAGTTATATCAGGCTTTGTAATAATGCCGGTATTTGCTGATTCTCAGCATTTAACAGTCATTCATTAATGTCTCAGTATTGAGGCATTAATTAATGAAATAATTAAGCTTTTTGTAAAAGCTTCTTCCTTTCATTAATGAAAGAATGAAGCCGTTACATGCAAATAGAGGACCGCAATTTGCGATCCCGTATTTGACAGCTCAAAATAGCAGAGAGGCAGCAGTGACTCACCTCACCTCTCTGCTATTTGTTTTGACAGCTCGAGAGCCCGATGTTTGGATACATTTCACCAAAGAGATACAATGTATATCTTTTGAGTGAAATGTATCAGTTCTGATCGTCTAGGCAGATCAAAGAGCTTTTAGTGAGATCTGAATCTGACTAAAGTCAGGATCAGTCTCTAAGGTTATTATTAGCTGTTCCTAAGTTTGGATCAGCCTAATAGCCAAAAATAAAATAAAAAAGTTAATTTATCAAGCTGTCATAGTGATTGCTTGATATAAACTGACAAGAAAAAAAAAAATTTTTTTATTTTATTTTTATTTTTTTTACAAAGTGTAAAAAAATTAAAATAAAGTGTAAAACAAAATTAGGAAAATATAAATTATATATAAATATATTTTTTATACTATAATTAATATAAAAAAATTCTAAAAAAAATAATAATAATCAAAACTTGTGAAGAAAGTGTTTTCTTCTAGTTTTTTTCCTCATTTTTTTTTAATTTTATTCAAACTAAGTGACGGGCTAGGTACACATATGTGATATAATTATATAGCCCTATCTGTCCTCTAAAAAACTATATATAATATGTGTGGGTACATTTAGTAAGAAAGTATATTACTGCTGTGGAAGAATCACACAGCAAAAATGTAAAAAATGTGTCAGTCATTTATGAACAGAACCTGAAAACTAGCTCAGTCATGAAGGGGTTAATGAAGCTTTCATTCCTAGAACTGGCCGTATCAGCATTTCAGAAGTGTTCAATCTACAGAAGACTCTTTTTGTGGAGTCACGGTGACTTATTTTCACTTAACATGACACGCTTTTAATAGCTGTTGTCCAGGCTACATAAGCTACTTTTTTGATGTATTGTGTTACTAGTCCAGTATTTGGCATCAATGTGAATTGCTTCCATTTACAGTAGCCTCTGTGTAAGTATCTTCAGTTACAGTGGCATTCCAAGGCAGTTGTAAATTAAAACCACTGTCAGTACAGTATTTTACCTTGGCGTATAAAAATATGTAATGTTATGTTAATGTTCGTTGTTTATCCATATGCAATGTGAATCTGTAAAGTAACTCGAAAGAATATACTGTACAACAAATGTGTATTGTGTATGATGAAAATCACTATAGATAGTCTCAATGCATCAATGCTCATACATTTTTTTGCAGGGCAATGATTGTGATGTAATAAAGGTTATAGTACCCCTGTTAAGTGGGCAGTGCATTGCTCAGTAGACAGGTCCTATTCTAATATCCAAATACTGTCTATACATTTGATAACACTCAAGTTAGAGGTTCAAAGCATTTAGATGAGATTTAGGAGGATTAATGTACTGGGTGGTGATATTATTATTATTATTATTATGACAGGGAAGTTATTGTGATGTAACAAGATAATGGTATTCTTGTTAGGTAGGCGGTGCATTGGTCAGTGGACTATATCCTAATATCGAAATAATGTCTAAACATTTGGATAACAGTTAGGAGGATTAATGTACTGGGTACTTAAAGTATAATGTACTTTATGATGATGGATTTATTATTATTATTACAGGGTAATGATTGTGATGTAAAAGGGTCATAGTACCCTTGTTAGGTAGGCATTCACCTTTTTTCCTTCTTTAATTTTGGTAAACCAAGGCAACAAGATATGAGCTATATATGTAGCATGAAGGACAGTACAACTTTATGTAGTCTCGTATAATTACTTTTTTTTACTGCTTTAACAGAAATATTAATAACTTGGTAATGAATCATTCAAAGATGTTAAATAACTGACTTTTTTTTTTTAGTTTGGGGATACGGTTTTCTGACTGTAACAATTATTAATCTGACGGCATTGGTGGGATTATTTATAACCCCTCTTGTAAAGAAGCCTTACTTTCCAAAGGTATTGACTTACTTTGTTGGACTGGCCATTGGAACTTTGTTTTCAAATGCAATATTTCAACTGATCCCAGAAGTAAGTGGTCCTAAAAAGTAAAAGTAATAAAGCAAATATAAACACATGTATATGTTTAAACAGAAAGGTGTTTATGTAGGTGGACTACATGTTTTACAGTAGGGATGTTGAGATACCAGTTCAGATACCAGTGCCGATACTTGGAATTTTTACGAAAACTTCCAGGGTGGCAGAGGTTGCAGCTGGGGCATAGCTCTGGCACTCCACCACTGTCCTGTATTGTTTTAGAAAAACTGTCACATGACAATAAACAAAAATGTATCATTACTTGTACCTGTAAATACTTGGACAAGTATCAGTACTTGTACTGGAAAAAATGGTATCGGTGCATCCCTAAAATATATATGTGAAAAAAATAAATATAGATTAACACAGGGATGCACAAATCCCAGGAGCTCCGTATGATCCTTAAAAATAACATTCAGGACTAAGTAATACAGAGATCAGGAACAAACAAGAGTGCAGAGGTCAGAAATAAATCAGCAAACTTCAGCTGTCATCCCTCCCAGGTATGATCTCCGCTGCTAGTAGTGCGGGACCTTGGTCACACACGCTGCTGATTCATGCTGTTCCTGCCCCTCTTGTTAGCTTTATTGATGATAGCTGCTCAAATCTGGAGAAGGGGAACTATTGGCTGAAAGCAGAGTGGCATCCTGTGGTGTCCTGGACTGTACAGTTTACCTGTTTACCTTGGTGCGTCGGTGAGCGGTGCTGTAGAATACACTTAATGCAGGGAGCTCGGGTGGAGGGGGCTGTGTAGGCAGCCCCTGCTGGGCCCCCTTGTTGTCCTGATGGGACATGGGCTCAGTACATGAGGGCTGGCTGTACCCCCTATCGATGGCCCTGACACCAGCACCCCGTGGTTGCCCCTGTCTGCTTGACATCTTGTGTTCAGCTTTCAGCTGCTCTGAAACCCAGACACAGCACATACAGGACTCAAAGCCTGGACTGTCTGGGTGAATCCTGGAAAGGTGGCAACCCTACCCCTGCCTCTGGTAATCATGCTTGTAACTGTCAGTCTTGCAATGCTTCATGGGACTGGTAGTTCCACAACAGCTGGCGGGGCTGTCATTTTATCTGGGGTTGCAAAGGCACAAAGTGGATTTAAATAGTTTTTGGCCTATTAGGATTATATTTAAATAAATTTTTTTTCAGCTAGTTCAGCTATAAAATACACAAAGCACATTGTGACATTACCATACTTGGAATGGAATGCTATGGAATACTGAAGTATTCCATAGCATTCAAAATGAGCATTTAAAAATTATCTTAGTTTTATCTGATGGTTTTAAAATGATAAGGGCTAATATGGCCTGTTGCTATAAGTTACATTACTTTGTATAAGATCATTGCAATGCCTTTATCAATAGTGTCAAGATAACAAGACAGTCATTGTTGTAGTCTGAAAAGTGCTACAATACAGTAGAATCTCAAGTGTACAATTGTGTATGTTGTTGCAGGCATTTGGATTTGACCCCAAAATTGATAATTACATTTCAAAAGCAGTGGCTATTTTTGGAGGATTCTACATTCTACTGTTTGTTGAGAGGATACTGAAATTGTCTCTGAACATCTATGGTGAAGTAAGAACACTACTATACCATTGCTTGTAGGCCTAATACATGAAATTGTCAAAAGAAACAACTTGCTACCTCTTCTCTAATAGGGACACCCCTAACTAATCTATCCAATGTTTTTATCACAGGGAGTTCATACCCACTTAGAAATTGACAAGCCGCCGCAGGAAATACATAAAGAGCGCGCAAAATGCAAAACTGTCAATGGAGCCACCATGTTTGCAAATTCAAATACAACAGAATTGAATGGTGCAATCAACATTGATCAAGTCAGTGTGGTGTCAAAGGTAAAACAAATCAGATTTTTAGTATTAAACTATAAAAGCAAAGAATAATGCAATTTACATTAAAGTCAAGCACACAAAGGCAACACTTTTTAGGAATGGTATGGATACACCGTATATCTCCTCGAGCCTAATTCTCTTACCTCTTCACTAGGTGTATGTAATTGTTCCAGCATTCACAGACTTGCAGCTCATCACTCTAAACTGAACATGCCATAAAAAGACTTTCAAAGGCAGAGAGAGCACCGGCACCATAAGTCTTAATAGACAGGTTTATTGTCCAATAAATAAAATGTACTCGCAAACACAAAGGTTAGAAAGCGTGTATCCCATGGATTAGTAAATTTAGATTGCTGCTCGTCTTGTAGCCTACATTAAACTTGTCTATGAAGGCCAGATTCACATCTGGGCGATCTGAGACTGCACGGCAATCGTGCACGAAACTACGCGGTCATGGAATCGCACACCACCACCTATCGCGCTGGTGGTGCCATTATTTTCTAATGGCACCCCAGTTTGGCCCAGACAGAGCGCGCGGTTTCCCGCCACAATAGCGCCTGTGCAATTGTGCACGATCGTGGTTTAAAAAACGTGCGGTGAGTGTCGCCAAAAAAAGTACATGTTCCTTTTTTCAGCGATTGCCACGCAGATGTAACACCATCAAATCAATGGGGCTGCGCGGCAACCGCTGTGTGCACCCGCACACGATTGCACGGTCCCGGGACGGCCGAAGTCTGCACGAGCCCTGAGACTTTATCAAGCCAATGTGTTCTCTTGCTTTTTTCAGTATGATTTACATCCATAAAAAGTTGCATTCATCCACAAGTAAATGTTGACATACTGTATATCTCACATATTGTTAGGATGAGGCTCTATGGAATGAAAAAATAGGGACAGATGTTTCTGATCTCTGCTAAGTGTCTTCCCTAACCGTTGAATCTGACAGGCATGCCTGCAATGTTAAAAGTAAAGTTCACTTTTTTGGAAAAAAATTATAAATGAACACTTCTTCATAAAAGAAAACATGTGCATTGATTATCTTTGTGCATTGGAGTAAGTAAAGCATTGCAACTGTGATTAGTGGATCGTGGGTGCAATGCTCTGGCTCCCTCCCATCCCCATCCGTACCAAAGTACGGACAATCAGTAACATTGACGAGAGGAATGAATGTACAAGTGTGGTGATGTCACCGCGCTTGTATTCCATTGAGTACCACAAATCCCTCTGCCACAGTGGATGATGGGATTTGTGGTTTCTCCATTCACAGATCCTGTCAAAGGTGACAGTTGTTTCTGACCTCTGCTAAGTGCCCCCCCCCCCCTCCCCAACCATAGGATCTGACAGGCATGCCTGGAATGTTCAATTATTCATCAAAAGATTAGCATAGTAACTTACTAGTTTTTCCATATTTCTCATATCATCTTTCACAAACAGATTTGTAATAGCTTCCTGTAGTGATGTTCTGTACATTGGGGAATCTGAAATATGGGAGCTGTCATTAGTTATTCCTTTCCTAAAGGCTAAGTTCACCTTTTGCATACATTTGCATTAATGTGACAACACAGAGAATGGACCCCAGTCGGTTTAAAATAACTGATAAGATTTTAAAAAAAATAATCATTACCGGAAGTGATATGCCTGTAGGCCATTTTGGTAGCCTTGAAGCCTGTCTCAAATACTCCTATATTTCTTTACATTATCATCCTGGCTAGTTTCTGGGACTCTTGAACTGTTGATGGTCGCCCCCAGCTTCATAGGAAGGAATGTTTCCTTGTTTTCAAAGCCACACTGGGCTCTCTCTTCCCTATTCATAGCAGTGGCTGAGCACAGCTCTTAACAGTTATTTTTAACCTACTGGGGCCCTTTGTCTGCATGGTCACTTTTTGAAAAAATCTGCGAAATGTGAACTTAGCCTTTAAGCACTTAAAATATATAGAAGAAAATAACTAAGAATCTCTCTGTGTATATATCCCCACTCGGCACAAATTACGTGGAATCCTTATGTGTGTATACATAACAATATTTGATGGCGGGAATGAGGGCAGTATATGAGTTTGGTTAGCAAAGTGCATATAAGATTTAAAAACATACCACTCGAATAGCAGCGTTAACTAATTAGCACACATAATTTGGTAACAAGCAATAAGACAACTTCCAGTGGTAACATTATAAATTATACAATATAAAGAGAGTGCCAAGGTTGACTACCCCTGTAGTAGAAAGTAATTGCTCTATAACGTTTCAACTGCAACAATAGCAATTTTCATCCATGCAGCCAGTTTATTATGACCACCTGATGTTTGTAGGCAAATTAGCTATAATTTCACGCTGAAGTTGCTACAGGGCCAGACCATTATAAATAGGGAAGCAGGTTGTTTACCACGACAGTAGAAGTGATTTTTTTCTGAAGATATGGGTAAACAACGCAATTTAACAGCCTTTGAACGTGGGATGATTGTTGGCGCGAGCCATGGAGCGAGTATCAGCAAAACAGCAGAATTCGTTAAATGTTCAAGAGGGGCTCATTGTTAAAGTGTTTAAGGACCGGACTGTCAGCCAAAAATCTGGGTCTGAACGTGCGAATTGTGGCAGTCAGCGACTAGTCAATGTTAGCGCAGAACGGAGAGTGGCAAGACTGGTACAAGACTACAGAAGGGCAACAGTGCAGTGTCAGATTCCTTGCATCACCTTTCAACATCTCGGGGAGTCACGAGGCGGCCCAACAAAGTCATCTTGTGGAGTCATCTCGTGGCCCAATGAAGTACTGATGGGGTGGTCATAATAATCTGGCCACTCAGTGTACAGTATACTATAAGAAACCCTTCCTCTCTCCTATGCCCCATTTTCTTAGGTAAAAGCAGACCATTGCCTGGAGAAGTCAGTAGCAGTTTATCAGAAGTTGGGCCGCACATGCAGGTTCATAGTTGGCTAATGCCTCTGTTGTATCTAATTTGTAGGCTGCTGTGAGGCCCTGTAAGCTGATCGGAGTCGGTCTTAATAAGCCCTGGTAAAATAAGACATACAAACTAACAAGAAAAGGACTTACAACATTGCAGTCCACAACTGCTATGGTAAAGTCACTGTACCACCAGCTAAAGGCCTCCTGTAGACCCATCACCTCTATTTATGACATTCCCTAAGGCCGGCTCTGCAGTCACTCTTTATGTATTCTGGCAGCAGCGGGCATCGGCTGTCAGAATACAATTGTTGCAGCAGGAGGATTGTCCATCCACACTATTTAGCATGGATGGAGGTATGTGATACATTACAATCTATTAGTATATGGCAAGCTTAACACAAATTCTCTCTAATTAAATCAATAACCATTCCCACTTAATTTTGCTACTTCACATTTTAGTCTACTGGTATTCTCAGGATTTCTATTTTTTTGTATTCCACAAAGTATAATCCTTTTATCAGCATTTTTTTTTAACATTTGACAGTAAATGTATTTTGTTTTATTCCACAAAGTATAATCCTTTTATCAGAAACTTTTTTTAAATTTGACAGTAAAAAAGATAAGATCTTGAGTCATTAAAAAATAAAGTTTTACAGTAGATTAAGGTAATGCTGACAAAATGCTGTCTGCAATAAACCACTGAAATACTTGTAGGTGTAAAGATGCTTTTTATAGCTTACATCATTTTGCCAGCAATGTTCATGTGTTGCTAAATGTGCAGGTTTAATTACACTATTGGAAACTGCAGCAGCAGCAAAAATGTTGTACAGCACATAGAAAAAAATATGTGTCCTGAAGCACATACAAACCTTTGGTCATACTGTGTGAAAGGTCTTACCTTGTATGCAGGTACTTCTTGTATTTCTATAAATCTTTTTTTTCCTGAGACCATTTACAAGGCCCATTACCTTTGGTTAACATTTCCTTTACTGCGTATTTTAAGCCAATTGCTGGCACCAGGGCCAGACTGGGCCAAAAAAGAAGCCTGGGCATTTTAGACTAAGCAGCCTAATCACATGAACCCCATTAGGCCTCGCCCTATCACAATCTAATGGCGGAGCCAAACATAGAAGCGCAATCAAGGGGCGGGGCCAGTCGCCTCATTATAGGGGACAATATATATATCAGCCGTACAGGGAGCAGTATACCGGTCTCCTAGCACCCTCGGACGTGCCCCGTACCAGCCCTTGGGGGCATGTACCTCCCGCAGAGCCTGCAGCCCAAGCTGGAGCAGCAACTCGAGCACCACCAACACTTTCTCCTCACACCCCGCACACTGCGATCTCATAGTCTGGCCCCTGTGTCCTCTCAGTTTGGCTCCTGTTTTCCCCCTGTGTTTCTCCTTAGCCTGGCCAATGTGTTCCCTCAGTCGGGCCCCTGTTTCTCACCTGTGTGCCTCCTCAGTCTGGCCCCTGCTTCTCCCCTGTATGTCTCCTAAGTCTGGCCCCTGCTTCTCCCCTGTGTGTCTCCTCAGTCTGCCCCCTGCGTCTCCCCTGTGTGTCCCCTCAGTCTGGCCCCTGTGTCTCCCCTCAGTTTTGTCCATGTCCCCCTTAGTCTGGCCCCTGTGTCTTCCCTCAGTCTGGTTCATGTCTCTCCTCAGTCTGGCCCCTGTGTCCTCTCAGTCGAGTCTATGTGTCCTATGAGTCTGGCCCCTGTGTCCTCTTAGTCTGGCCCCTGTGTCTCCCCTCAGTTTGGCCCTTGTGTCCTCTCAGTCTGGCCCCTGTGTCTCCCCTCAGTCTGGCCCCTGTGTCTCCCCTCAGTCTGACCCTGTGTCTCCCCTCAGTCTGGCCCCTGTGTCTCCCCTCATACTGGCCCCTGTGTCCTCTCAGTCTGGTCTATGTGTCCTCTCAGTCTGGCCCCTGCGTCTCCCTCAGTTTGGCCTCTGTGTCCTCTCATTCTGGCCCCTGTGTCTACCCTCAGTCTGGCCCCTGTGTCCTCTCAGTCTGGCCCCTGTGTCCTCTCAGTCTGGCCCCTGTGTCCTCTCAGTCTGGCCCCTGTGTCCTCTCAGTCTGACCCCTGTGTCCTCTCAGTCTGGCCCCTGGCCCCCCCCTTTTTGTGACCCCCTGTGTGTCCAGCACAGGGCGGTGGTGCTCCGTTCCCTCTTCAGTGTCTGGTAGTGATTCCTCACCCCCTCCTCTCTCTCAGCTCATTTTCTCCGGGACTCTGGTGCAGTGGCAAAGGTAGACATTGCGTCACGAGGGGCAAAGACTCGGAGCTGCCCGCCCCGGGAGAATTTCTCTATCCAAACACCGCCCCCCTCCCCGCCACCCCACACTTCTTGGCTCTCTCTTCTTTTCTCACAGAGGTGCCCCTCCTGATCTAGAGGCGAGGCTTCATACCGCCTCGTTCTCCAATGCTGCTTTCTGGGCTCACTTCTATTTCCCCGTTGGTTCTCCTTCTAATCTGTCATGGAGGAGAGATTTGAATGAGGTGATTTTAAGCCTCCATTATTGGATCTGAAGGGGAGCCGCCGCACCAAAAGAAAAGAGCACAGAAGTGGGTCTAAAGACACTGATCCGCCATAGAGGCCTGCCACGCAACAATACATTATACCAGCAATTAAATATTCAGCAATGCAGAATACTACAAGCTAAATAGTACTATAAATCCCACCAATACATTATACAGCAATGCAGAATAAAATTAAGCTACATACATCTGTGTTTCTCCGGGGTAGCGGCCTGATGTCTCCAGGGTCTCAGAAGGGCTGTGCAGAGTCTCAGGTGAGCTGTGTGGGGTCTCAGGTGAGATGTGCGGGGTCTTACCAGGGCTTTGCAGGGTCTCACCAAGGCTGTGCAGGGCCTCACCAGGGCTGCATGTGGTCTCACCAGGGCTGCATGCGGTCTCACCAGGGCTGTGCGGGGTCTCATGAGGATGTGCAGGTTCTTACCATGGCTGTGTGTAGTCTCCCCGGGGCTATGTTCAGTCTCAGGAGGATGTGCAGGGTCTTATCAGGGCTGTGCAGGGTCTCACCATGGCTGCGTCAGGTCTCACCAGGGCTGTGTGGGGTCTCAGGAGGATGTGCAGGGTCTTACCATGGCCTCTCTGACTGACACCGCTCCTAGGCCCCCCTTTTAGGGCACATGTTCCCTTTGCCCCCAGAGTTTTGGCACTGCTCCGGTGTTTTGTGATTCTGGTGGCGGGGCGGGGTGACGGCTCCACTCTGTGTCTGTTCTGTGCTCTCTAATCAATGTAGCTCTCAGGAGCAAGCCATCAGGCATAGTGGGCCGGGCCGAGCCTAGCCAAAAACAATCAGGCTGATTGTATTCGACCCAGCCCGTCTCCCCGGGCAAGTGCCCGGTATGCCTGATGGCCAGTCCTGCCCTGACCACCATCAATAACCACCAGCAAGTGTCAGGGCCTGCAATGACATCCTCGATAACTAACCTCCAGCAAGTGTCATGGCCTCCAATGCCCTAATAATAGTATTATTCTGCAATATTGTATAATGTATTGCTGGGATTTGTAGACCTGTATTACTGATGGTGTTATTAATTCCGTCAGCTATAGAGGACTACAAATCCCAGCAATACATACAGCAATGCAGAATACCATCAGCTTAGCTATACAAGACTACAAATCCCAGCCAGCAATACATTAAACAACAGCAATTTAAATGAGATTATTTTAATATAAAATAAAAAATAAAACTGCAACACGGGGTGCTTTTATCTGCACACTGCAGCTTCTCTTCACCTGTTGCACTGATGAAGGGATATCTATCTGCACAGACACAGCCCTGTGAAGGCTGGAACAAAAAGTTAATGATCGGCGTTCACAGTTCCGGGTATTCCTTGATGTCAGTTCAGCAGGGAGGGCCTGGGGACAGAGGGGACTTTATCATAAATGGATGCTGGAGTGGGCACCCGCGACTGGCACTTGCTCTTTTATTATAAAATGGCCCTCTCTGTCCCGGGGGCCACCTGCTGCCTAGCTCTATCGCCCTAGAGGCTGCAAGGCTTCATTACTGCGAGGCCTTGAGTGACTGCCTAAAATGGCCTAATAGACGAGCCGCCTCTCCTGTCAGATAACACAGCCAAGCCTCAGAACCTCTCAGTTTTAGAAGGTGTGCAGTTCATCACAACCCGATTTGCTCACAGTATTGGTCTTCCCTATCCCAGCATGAGTGCTGCTGTGCAAGGGGTTTCAATAGTACTCATTCCATATATGTAAAAATAAATGTAACAAGAAAACCAAACCAAGAAAACCAAACCTGGTAGATGGTGAATGGAGGCTTTTTATACCTGCGTTGATGTAAGTTTTTATTTCCACTTTGCGTCTTTATTAAAGAGCCATTAAAGTAAAGGAATGGTAAGGCACAGAAATCCAAAGAGTCCTCCAGTCCTCCAAAAAAAACAACAGGGGTTAGTTACTAATACAGTTGTTTATGGCCAAGGACCAAATATTGTATCTGTCTTGGGAGATTTAGTTATAAGAAAATAAAAATGTTCCCAGAGGCTCCCTGGGTTTTAAAGTGTGCACATGCTATGTTGAAAATAACCCTTTTAGAAAATCTGTCTCAGAATGGGAACTACAACATTACCTCCTATAAATAAAACATATTCACAAATCTAAAATAGGGGTTGTACTCCTTGTTTACTGATTTATGAGGGGAGAATCATCATTGCACCTGCCAATCAAAGCATCATATTGGATCTAGGCTGAAGTAGAGAAAGCACTTTCATATGTATTTTAAAAAAATGTGTCCTCACTGATGTGTTCTGTTGTTTCCAGGAATCAGATGAAGAAACAAATTGTTGCAGATTCAGAAAATGGACTCCAATGAAGGAGATTGGAACATTAGCTTGGATGATTACATTAAGTGATGCCCTGCATAACTTTATTGATGGGCTTGCCATTGGGGCTTCATTTACGTTATCTCCTTTGCAAGGCCTGAGCACATCTATTGCCATTCTATGTGAAGAGTTTCCCCATGAGTTTGGTAAGTGATGTATTCTAAGTTGGTAAAGTTATGCACAAGTATATAAAGCTTATAGATTGACTTGTTACTTCAATTTCACCAATTATCACTGCTGCAAGGAGCTACTTGGCTACCATGTTTAGCTATTACTAATGTTGTTCTTATATACCTCTTATATACCCCCCTCTCTACTGACTTCTGGCTCTCTATACATTTTATTCCCACTTTCAGTAGTACCACTAAGAGCTTCTTGGTTTTCCTATATTATGATACAGCCCACAGTTTTTCCAAATTAAAGAGGAACTTTACCCATATCTACAAAATAACAATGAAGGCACCTTATAAATGCCAATCTACAAACACATACTACTTTCATTGCAGGCTTTGTATTTTTTGCAAACCTTATTTTTCTTTTCCTCCCCATTCTTCTGACAGTGGCCATTTTAAGGAAGGGCAGGTTACTAGATCTCCCTTTACTTCCTGGAACTCTGTCACATGTGACTAGGACATGTGACAATGCACATCATCTCAGGGGAAGAAAATGCTTTTCCCTGAGATCTCATGACATTACAGATGAGATTTCTAGCAATGCTCTGCTGATGTAACCTTTCCAGGCAATGCTTGGGTACAATTACATCATTTGTGCCAAAGTGGACCAGGAAGTAAAAAAAAAAGAAATTGTAAGTAAAATAAAAATATGTTTATTTAGCTAATGAATGTAAGATGATTTCATATCACCATGTAGAGCTGTATGCTGATGTGATTTTTAGTCAAAGGGGTAAAGGTCCACTTTAACTGCTTAGTACAGGTGCAAACTGGCCTTGATAGCCCCTTGAGGATGGACACTGATGTGGCAACAAATGTCAGTGCAACTGGCAGTAGAATTCAAACAGATGAATGGTGGGAGTTCTGAGGAGCGAGACATATTCCTGTCATCAAAGGCGGAGGAGATGTGGACAAGTTTCCCCCTTTCTCTCTGAAAGTGTCAAACTTACTACTTCACCATCACTTTTCATCCGCATTCATGGCTTATCTCCTACTGGGAGAATAAAGTGTTCTGGGAATGTGACAAGTCCAGAGGGTCCCACAGTAGTTTAGTTTCCATAAATTTGTACTTACTCAACTCACGGTAAAACATGTCTTTCTGTGTTACCGCAAGGCATTGGTAACCTGTGCTTTCATTTTGAATGACACCACAACTCACAGT